TCCTAGATTGTAAGCTCCAAGGAGCAGGGCCCTCTTATCCCTCTTGTATTGAACTGTATTGTAGCTGTATTGTCTCCCTTTATATTGTAAAGCGCTGAGCAAAATGTTGGCGCTATATAAATCCTGTATAATAATAATAATAATGATCTGTCTCAGATATGCAATTATAATAGAAGATGAAGTCTAAGGTAAATCTGTTGCTAGATCTGTTGTCTACAATGAAGTCTGTATTTAAAGCAGAAGTAAACCTTGTTTTTAATATTTGTTGTACTGTAAAAATCTCTAAAACGTGTAGTGGAACATGCGCACTGCACTCTCAATGGACAGCATGCCATCCATTGAGAAAGCTGTTCTTCGGCCCAAACTCCCATGCCCATGTGCAGGAGTGACGTCATCGGCGGCTTAGCCAGTCAAACAGCTGCTGCCTGAAAAACCAGAAGGAAGACTGGGTAAAGATGGAAGCCTCAGGGAGCTGTGATAGTGAGGGCTTCATTTTCAGGTAAGTCCTTCATAATGTGCTAGTATGCAATGCATACTAGCACATTTTGCTCTTATCTTGCAGGGAAACTTTTTTTTTCACTACCATTTCAATAACTTTGCCATGCTTACCATCAAAGTTTGCCTCACAATTTATACTTTTATCAAAGTTTATGTGCCCATACTCTGCACTAACCTTTACTTTTCTTTAATTCTTCCACTAGACAGTGAGCCTCCTCTTGAATACGATCTTCTGTATCTCTTTTCCCAAAACCCAAATCCCTCAAACTGGAGACGGAGAAGCGCCGGAGCTCCCTCCACCATTCCAAGACATTAGTAAAAATGAATCCTGCAGAAGATCAGTTTGTACAGTTTATATATCACAAAACAGCCAGCTGTTTAGTTGCATTTGATGAATTGATCAACACACTCCTTTTTAGGGTTCAGTAAAAAAAAAAACAGCACCAAATGTATTCCCATAGCAAACACAGCTGAATGCAGACAAGGTTCGTGCACACCAACAGCCACATTCAATAAAACATGCAAAGTGCTTACAATGCTAATACAGTATTTTGCAAAAAGAAGCACAGATAATTATTGCAATTTAAACTTATGGCCAAAAAGGAGGGGGAAAAAATTGGAAAAGCACTGGGTGATGGCTCCTGAAGAAGTGGATCAAGTCCATGAAACGTGTTGAGCTTAAAGAATTGGAATACCTGTGAAGCAAGTTGTTTTCCACTATGATGTTGCAATCTTTTAACCTTTATATGATACAGTGGTTTTGGATATTAATATGAGTATGTATGGTGGATTTTGATATGAAATAAATAGTGATTTTATACAGATGCTGTGCCTCAAAAATCGCCATCTTTTTAGGGGCGTTTTCCATTCTCTCCTTTTTGTCCATAAGTATAATTAATTAGGGACGTGGCACTATCATATTTGATCAAGGTAAGATTTTTGCAGTTTGAAGATGTGACAGATGGCCTTGAGGTATTCTGCCACAATAAGGTGAAAAGGGCTGCAGATGTAGATGGAAACTTTGACAGAACCTACAGCCTAACCAGTACTCCAAGACTGGCCTGCATCTTACTATAATGCCAGGTTCCTGATTAGATGATGCCAAGAAAGCAAAGTCCTTTGTTTGTGAATTCCTGTCAATGGCTGGGGTAGGTCAGGAAAAAATTTGTGTGGTTGACAAGAACTGAAACTTTTGGGGTTGGCTTATGTACCAGTTTGGGAATTCTGGGATTTTTATATTCAGTTGAGAACCAATGTTCTCTCTATACAGTTGATAGAAACACAAAGCAGCTTGATTCAGATAAGAAAAAGGGGGAGGGGGGGGGGGTGGGGGGGGTAGGTGGGGGGGGGGGGGGGGGGGGGGGGGGGGGGAGTGTCTGCAGGTCAGAAGATGGTCAACTGCAAATCAAATGCATCTGTGAAAGAACCATAACAGTCTCAAACTGATCTCAAATGCAAGCTTAATGTACCTAAAAGTGTGTTGAATTTTCCCATCTACATAAAAACTAAAATGGTCAAAGTCATGTAGACTAGTGCTGTTCAGAGCAGATAATCCACAAGGCAACCGAAACAGGAGAGTAGGGCTCGGTGGTTGTCTAGGGGGCCCAACTACAACCGTCATACTTGCACAGTAAACCAGTGGGATAGAATTCGGGTAAAAATGTGCACCTGCCCATCACTTTCGCAAGGGAGGATACACGTGTAGGCATTTGGTGTCTGATTAGGCCATGCCACTACAGACAAGAAAAATGGGATGTCTTCTCTAGGCCTATTGCAATTCGTATCAATGTCCATTGAAAGGATTGGAGAACCAAATATTCTACTTTGCCTGGAACTCCATATTGCCCAATCCACCTTTGGCATTGTTGTCCCCATTCATATGTTTAGTTGCGGCAACCACCTTCTACCTTTTGAGACTAATTGCCCACAAGTGATTTACTAAGCAATAGTGATTATAAAAGAGACAGGTTTTTTTTACTGAATGTCAACAATTATTAAACTGTGTACTTGTTTTTGTTTTTTTTTTTACCTATATGTGATGGATCAGAGGTAAAACAATGTCAACAAATGCACAATTATTGCCTAGAGATTAAACATTGGTGAAGTTTCAGGTTGGAGGAAAAAACCTTATTCGACATGGATGTCACAAAAGTTTCATCTGTTCAGTTCTGCTCATATTCAACAGGGTATCTGTTAACCCTTTGAGGACCAAGGGACGTATTTGTCCCATGTTTTTAATTGCGTGTATCATCTGATTAAGAACTTAAAACTTTTTTTTTTTTGGTTTGAGTCAAAATATTAGTTCTTATCAACAAACAACAAATGGATCTAGCTTTTTGCCAATTATTTCATGAAATGGCTTAGTTACAGCAACTGAAGTGTATGAACTTTAAAAACAAAAAAATTGATTCTTTTGGCGTTTCAAAATCTTACAGTCCTCAAAGGGTTAACAGACCCCCTGCTGACTGGAATAGATGCCACTCATGTAAAAGAGCCCTTAAAATTTTTGCAAGTTACAAAGTGACACATCTGTGTAAATAGGCAGACAAGAGGAGAGATAAGGACATAAAATAATAATACTAGCATCACTGTTAATTATAATACCTGACCTTGGTTCTTATAGAAGGCGTCCCAGGCAGGCATGTCACCACGTCCTATATAAAAATCTGCTTTGTCCAAATAAAACCTCTTTCACTTGCTTGTAACCAGTGACCACCACCACTGGACGGGATCCCAGGTAAATGGTAAATACCTCACCATATTTTTCCCTGAACTGAAAGTCAAACAATGAAGATATTAGGTTTCCTGTGACCCCACATACATTCAAATATTATTTTAAGGATCAGATAATCCAAAATGAAAGGATATGTAGTGTTCACCTCCGGGGAGACCACTGGAAATATGCCCAGGTCTCCTTTGTTAGTACAGAAGCGGTTAGACAGTTCCATGTATACCGACAATACAGGCTTTGTCAAGGGGATGTCTTTTTAGAATGTATTGCTTAACAATTTGAAACATGAGAGGGGTTCATGGATTCAGAATACTCCAAAACAATTAAAAAAGAGGACAAACTTCCAGCACAATCCTTATAGCAGCAGGCATACATAAATGTCCCAAACACAGGTATACTCACAATATCCCAGGAACTATCTGCAACCGAGCTTTCTTAGGTAGATCCTCAGTGAGGGTGACAAAATATCCTTCTCCAGACCAGGACTTCATAACAGTGCCCTCCAAAAATCCATTAGTAATCTTCTCCAGGCCACCAGTTTAGCACCTGCTGAGGCCCAGACTGTAATTTCTTGTCTCACTAACAATCTCCAAGGGGCAGCAGCAAGTCCTAAGATGTGGTGGCTACAATTGTTTATCTTTCTCAGACCTAGAACATTTTCAGCAAGTACAGAAAATACACATTGATCTTGAAATGCAACGTCCTTGTCACTTTCTGTTAGCTGCACTGAAAGCAAAAAAAGAAACATCTTTCTTCTATAAATTACTAATCCCATCATCCGCAATTTAAAGATGATGACAAAGGCAGCCAAGTTTGTAGTCAAGCCTGGGTGATGTTCTTTATAGACACAGTGGAGGAGTGAGCATAGTCACCCAGAGACAGAAGGTGTTTATTTAAAAAGGATTAGCAGATGAAAAAGGGAAAAAAGCTTGAATGAATAAATAAATTGCATCCACTTTATCTATCTATCTATTGAATACATTATATTTTTGTTTTGGGTTTAGATATCCTATAATATTTCAATTTCTGTGGATATATCAAACCTGAGAGAAGTGCTAATCTTTCTACTACTAAAAAGTACATTACTGTTTGTGTCTCAATCGGAGACATTTCCCTTTAGTTCTGATTTCGAGGACAAACCCGGAGTTGAGGGAAATTTTTACCAACAAGATAGTAATAATACGTAATTGAAGAAGGGGAAGGCCAATGGTGTAGCAGGATTTACTGTATTCAACAGTGTATGTTAAAATACAATAAAATTGCACTCACAAAAGTCGCTTTAACCTGGCATATAACAAGCTCCATGTGGAGCCACCAGTGCAGAGTCCACTCCTGACAGAGACCACTGGGATGACAGGAGCTCTGTGGAAGCCAGAGATCCGGGCCAACCACCAGAATATCACCATGGAAGACTTGAGAAGGGAGCTTTCATTGGAGCTTACAGATGCTACAGACTATAGCCAGTCAGAAATGCATTTCAGAGGCCAAACTATGCCTCCTTCATTAGCCTGATAGAGAGTAGCCACTAGCACTGCAAGCCTGCACTCAACATCCACTTGGCATGTGACCAAGACAGATTTCAGCTGCCGTGCTCCATGTAGTGTTTGTCATATGCCTGTGTTAAGCAACTTTTTTGAGTGCAATAATATTGTGTTTTAACATACACTATTGAATTACCATATTTTTCGCTCCATAAGACACACCTGACCATAAGACGCACCTAGGTTTTAGAGGCAGAAAACTGGGGAAAAAAAATATTCTGAACCAATGGACTGCAGACAGAAAATAGACTGCAGACACAGACAAATGACCAGAGACTGCAGACACAGTACAGGGGATGACCAGAACTGACACAGTACAGGGGATGACCAGAGACTGCAGACACAGTACAGGGGATGACCAGAGACTGCGGACACAGTACAGGAGATGACCAGAGACTGGACACAGTACAGTACCAGGCAGACACAGATGACCAGAGACTGCGGACACAGTACAGCGGACACAGTACAGGAGATGACCAGAGACTGCGGACACAGTACAGGGATGACCAGAGACTGCGGACATACTACATCATATAAAGTCCCAACAGGGCCCCTCCACCCAGAATATCAAATGATCTGACACCATACACCAAGGAAAAGGACTACAACTCCCAGTATCTGTCATTTTAACTTACAGAAGGCAGGGGGCGCACTGAGCTCCGAGGACAGGCCACACCAGCAGATAGGACCGGACTGTAGAGCAGGGAGCACACTATGGACACATGCCAGGAAAGGGGAGGCGCTGTAAGGACAGGCCACACCCGCAGACCGGACTGCAGAACTGGGAGCTCAGTACATAGACATGCCAGGAGCGGGGACAAGCTCGAGGACAGTCCACGCCTGCAGGGCGGACCGGATTGCAGAGCAAGCTGGCTGGGTTCAGCGAGGGGACTGCCTGCTATGAAGAGCTGCGGGGACAGCCCGCTGAGAGAGGGCAAGGTGAACTTCGGTGACAGCCTGCAGTGGGAGGGGACAGGCTGCACTGGGATGGGACAGCCGCTGGCACTAACACGGCGGCGGTGACAGGTGGAGGACCGGTCAGTATTCGCTCCATAAGACGCAGAGACATTTTCCCCCATATTTTTTGGGGAAAAAAGTGCGTCTTATGGAGCGAAAAATACAGTAATCCTGCTACACCATTGGTGCCTTGTTGTCTCTTTCGCCCCTTCTTCTCTTACAGCTTTCAAGCTCCCAGCCCATCCTAAGAGGCAGCCTAACTCCAGCCAGCTGTGTCAGCAAGAGACTATCCACTGATTATAGCCCAGACCTCCTGGGTTTTATAAATGTCTATATACATATAGACATTTATCTTTGTAATTTTATATCATTGCATATTAGTATTATTTGTGGTGTACCTACTCTCATCTGATGTCGATATCATCCCTCATACACCATTCAACCTGACTGCTTAAAAAAGAAGCCTGTTCTTTTTTTTCCCCCAATTATACTTACCTATGTGGATGCAGCATCGGTCCGATGTTGCACCTGTCCCCCTCTAGCCCAAGGGTGAGAACTCAGCGATCACATGACCGCTGATCACTGAGTTGTCACAGCCGCTCTGAGTAACTGTCAGTCACCGCTCTCTGCTCAGCCCCTCCAGCGCTCACCTGTGCACTGGGCTTTGGAGGGAGAGGGAGCTCCAGACTCTGGGGTGGATCCTGACTTTAAAGTCGCGATCTTTCCCCAGCTTGGACCGGCTGAGTGATGTCAGCCAACAGCAAGATTCAGCCCGCTGTCAGCTGAAAATGGGTTACAGGATTGCAGAACGAAGTGCAGTCCTGTGATTCATAGGAGAAGTATAGCCAAAAGAGCTTTGGCTGTACTTCTCCTTTAAGATCATCCCGTGATTGTAACAAGTTATAAGTGTAGCACTGAGTGTTGGTAGTTTTTCTCTTTATAACAAGTAATTAAAATTTTGATAGGCTTCTACTAATGAAAAAGAGGGTTTTGACATAATATCCAAATATTACCTTAAATGCCTAAAGCTAAAGGGTGAGTTTACAGCTGTTCCAGGTATGTAGCCCTTACTTTATGTATCCAGGAAGATCGAGATACATACAGACACATCCTTTCTAAGTATAAAATAATAAGAACAATTGCATGCTGAAATAAATAAAATAAATAATACAATAAGTTATTCAATATATTCATTAATATGAGACATTGCTTTAAACTTCTTTACAACACGTGATTATTGTTAACTCTGATTTCAGCTGGCTTAATGTAGGTATTAGGGTCCATTAGCCTTATTCATCCAAGTCCATTCAGTGGAAGTGAATATAGTTCCTTTCTTGTGTGTGTATAGCCATATGGTGCTTATATTGTATATTATGATGCTGATATATCATATTTAACTAACAAATAAGAAGCAAAAGAAAAAGATCAGTTATAATACATTTAATTTAAGGAAACTTACTTTCATCAGAGAGTTTGCAACATCACCTCTTCCAATCTCTAACACATTCCCCAGCAGTGGAAGAGGTGTTGGTCCTGGTGGGAGATTCCTCCTTATCCAAAACATCTTTATGCTCAAATATAAGATAAGTCCCGTGACTCCCAATGCTAATAGCAAAGTTATATCCACTGGGAGATCCATCCTGATGGCTTGTATGGAACTTGTGAACATGCAACACATTTCAGTTTTTTATAACGTGAAAGGTTTCTGACATTTAAAAGGTGGAGCACAATAAATACAGTCTGGAAAAAATTATGCAATCACTTTGATAATATGTCAGTAGAACTCTGTCTTGTCTTCTCATAAAAATGTATGAAAGAACAAGTCCAGACAGATATAAAATGGAAATATTAGTTTCAATACAACATGGATTTCTTCAGACATCATTAAATCATTCTTTTTTTCTGCTAGAGCCAAGTTGTAGAATATTGCTTGAAAGTCTAGGCAATGTTCAGGGAGTGCGCATGCGCGGCCGAGGGGACGGACATGTCTCCCTGAGGCTCTGTCATACCGCAGGGACAACAGCCACCAGATCAGAGATCCCAGCCCGCACATAAATATAAGCAGCCCCGGACTCCGTGGCAACCCCCCTGGCAAAAGCCAGCATGGTCAGGGGAGCGCCCCGGCATCAGGCTTCGCCGCCCAGCAAGCCCATTAAGGAGACCCTAGTTCGAGCCTCCTCCAAGATGGCCACCGCATCTTCTCCAGGCAGCAAGAAAGCTGCACAGCCATATACAGCCCTGCAATCAGTGCAACCCAGTCCACCCTGCACATCGGATGGTGACCCCACACTCATGCTCCTACCTCTGACCTTACATCTCCTGACCTTCTCATGCGCTTTGAAAAAATACTACACAAAGCCTGAAACAGACCTCTGACCACATCACAGACAAGCTGTACTGAGAAATCCGCGAGCTAGGGCAATGCACTGCTGACCTGGAACAAAGAGTGGATGATGACCTTGACGCCACACTCCAGACACACACACAGACGACCTCGACCTTTTACGCGATGAAAATGCGACACTGCAAACACGCCTCGAGGACTTTGACAACCGGGCTAGACACTCAAATGTACAAATTCGTGGTCTCCCAGAATCGGTCATTGAAGTACAATCAACCGTCACAGCATTGTTCCAAGAGCTCGCCCCAGCTCTCCCTATAGAACGCCTAGAAATGGACAGGGTCCAAAGGGCATTAGCTCCGCGATGCACCGATGCAACGTGGAATCCCTGACGTTCCAAGCTCACACCTATCAACTGTTTCAAGACCTTTGCCCCACCACTATCGCTAAACGCAGAGCTATGAAACAACAAGGTATAACTTAAAATGGAGCATCCCCTTTGCAGTGCGTTTTCGTTACCAAACCCGAGACTACATCTGCAAGACCCCTGATGAACTGTCGGACACCCTACGGAACCTCCAATTGCAACCACCAACAACACCATCAGAAAGCTCCAGACGGCGGTCCGCATCTTGCTCATTGCAGAAATCCCACCCACCACACCTCGCCAATGGTCAACTTAACGCCCACAAATGAGGGCACTTCTCATCACCTGCTCTGTATCCACAGGACTCTATGGACTGAGTCCCACCATTCACCTCTTACCTCGCCACCCTCACGTGACACTACAGAGCTCTGCCAACGCAGTGGCCAACGTCCACGTTGTCTACCCTCCTCACCCCTCCTTAGGATGCGGACGTCATGTATCCTTGCACTAGCCCTCAGGGCCTATTTTGTCCTTACCCTAATTTTCTCTCTTTTTTTTTTATATAACGGGAACATTTTTTTTTTTTTTAAACTCGTCCCGAGAGTTAATGGTTATCTTGACTCTTTTCTGTCCCAGGTTTCTGAGATTTTGTTGTGCCTTACATGCTACATTTTGCACTATTTTGTTATGGATGCATTTCAACATATGTATGGGGACCCCAGTTCTGGCAGCACATTAAGCTCCATTTCCCTACCCTCACCAGCTTTTCCTGACGGCGGGTGCCGCCTGAACTCGGGACCCCTTGGTTCTTTCAGGAACCCATTCTTCTATTTTATTTCCAGGATCTTACTGTAATGTAAATCTGACACGCAAATCTATCTCTCTATCACTCACCTCACCCCTTCAGTCTCCACTCGTATCACAAGCCTACTGAGCGACATATCGGACTGGATGTCACTCCACGTCCTCAAACTTAATCTGTCCAAAACCAAGCTCCTAGTTTTCCCCCCAGCTCGCGCCCCTGCCCCTGACTTCTCCATCAAGACCAACACCACCACCATTAGTCCCTCCCCTCAAGCCAGAGTACTAGGTGTCATCCTAGACTCCAATCCTTCCAGCCCCAAGTCCATTCGCTGACAAACTCATGCAGACTTCACCTCCGTAACATCTCCAAAATACGTCCGTTCCTAACCCCGGAAACCACTAAGCAACTTATTCACTCCCTCATATCACGCCTCGACTACTGTAACTCCCTCCTCACCGGCTTACCCCACCGCAGGCTATCCCCACTTCAGTCTATCTTGAATGCTGCGGCCAGACTCATCCACCTTACTAACCGCTCCGTATTCGCCACCCGTCTCTGCCAATCGCTCCACTGGCTTCTGATTGCCCAACAGATAAAAATGCTAACATTGACTTATAAAGCTGTTCATAATACTGCCCCAAACTACATCACCGATTTGGTATCCAAATACCACCAAAACGTACTCTCCGCTCCTCACAAGACCTCCTACTCTCTAGTTCCCTGGTCTCCTCCTCCCATCCCCGTCTCCAGGACTTCCCCCATCCTCTGGAACTCTCTACCCCAATCCATCAGACTGTCACCTACTCTCCTCACCTTTAGGCACACTCTGAAAACCTATCTCTTCAGTGAAGCCTACCCCGCCCTCAGCTAATTACTGAACTCCTCCACTCTTCCTACCACTCCATCCCCCACAGCTGTTTCCTCCTGTACCACTATCCCCTTCCTCCTAGATTGTAAGCTCCAAGGAGCAGGGCCCTCGATCCCCTCGTGTATTGTATCGTATTGTTACTGTACTGCCTCGTGTACTGTCTCCCTTTATAATGTACAGCGCTGAGCAA